TGCCCCCGGCCATGACGGTGTACGCGCTGGTGGTGGTCTCGTACTTCCTCATCACCGGAGGTGAGTGCGGCGGGGCCGGGCGCTGGCAGCGGGAGACCCTGCCCGGGCACGGAGCCCCTGCCGCTGCCGGCCCCTTGTCCGGCTCCGGGTCGCTCGTCAGGCCAGCGCGGGGCGTCCCGGCGGTGTTGAAGTTCTCGCCGTTTGCTGCTGTGAGTCACGGGCGATGGTTGCTCTTCTCCCCGCAGGGATTATCTACGACGTGATTGTGGAACCTCCCAGCGTGGGGTCGATGACAGACGAGCATGGGCACCAGAGGCCGGTGGCCTTCCTGGCGTACAGGTAGGAGCAGGGCTCTGCCCCCTCCAGCCAGGAGCTGCAAGCGAGTAAACCCGTCCTGCCGAGCCGTGCGTCTGCTTGGTTGAGCTCTCTGTGCAAGGCAGGTTCTGCTCTGTAGCTGTCCTTGGTTTGCAAATAAAAAACCCAAACATTAACATCACTGGAAGTGGGAAAACTCAGCCCTTCCAAAACTTTATCAATGAACAGCCTGGTAAGAAAAAGATTTAGATCTGGCAGTACTTATCTCTCTTCCAAGCCAGTGCTGCTAAAGTTGAGTTCTGCAGTGGGTGTGGATACATGTGGTCATTTCGTAGCAGGATACATAATGCTTGTCAGATTTTCAGTTCAGGCATTTTAGACTTAATGCAATTGCAATTCTTGTGCCTGAGGATGGGGAATATAATTATAAGTGTGTAACAACAGTGTCTTCTTCGGGCCTTTCGCTTCTATTACTGAAAATAAGCTAGAGATTGCTTAGTTGCCAGTTGGTCTACAGAGTGTTAAATTGACGTTTGTTACTTTGGGGGGGCGTGTTTTGGGGTGTTGTTTTGTTTTGATTTTATTTTGGTCTGAAAATAAATAATGTTCTTTGTTAAATATCAAAAATGTTCCTCAAATCTCTGTGGTCTGTGGCATTCCTCATGTACAGATTTTGCGTTGGACTAGGTATAATCCATGTCTTGGACTGGCTGGAACTGTTGCAGCATAGATGAGTTGGACTACTGGAGGGGGTTGTTAGCATTTTAGTGCAATTCAGTGAAAAAACCATGAAAAAAGATGAAATGGTTTTCAGAATGTGAGACTAGCCCAGCCTGGCCGCTTCATGCCACGTCTGTGAATTGCTAGTCTTGCTAATTAACAAGGATAGGAGAAAGGTTCAGTGACTGTGGGAAGCAGGAGATGTGTGATTCAGGTGCAATATTCTGTCTAAGCCTTGGCTTCCCCCCTCTCAGCACAAGCTTTGTAAGCAGGAAACCCAGCAGCATGGACTGACAGGGAGCCCTTTCAGGCTGGGTCCCCCCGTGTGCTGGCTCAGGGAGCCAACAGCAAAACACATGGCCAGCAAGAGCTGCTCTGGTGTGTGCTCACCCAGTACATGTGCTTCGTGTGCTGATACAGTAGTGCTTTGAGTGGGCTTTGTACTGAAATGAGGATTTAGGCACTGCTGCCGAAACCTCAGGGTGGAAATAGGACTTGGAAAGCTTAGTGGCCTTGGGGGATCATGGTTCCAAGCCTCGTGTCACCTATGAAATCAGGTGCTACTTTGGATATTTCTGCAAACTTGCTTGGTAGCTGTTAGTGTACGCTGCTACATGTAAAACCAGTAGTAATACTGGTCACCTTGCAGACTGTCAGTTCCAGAGATAAATTACATGCTCAAGCCTTGATGCAATTGCACACCATCAGTTTCCATACCTACTTTTTGTTAGGAAGTCAGGCATCAAAGTCCATCGTCCTGTGTATTTGTATAGGTAAAGCAGGTTGAGTAGATAGAGTTTGAAATGTAAGTAGTTTCTTTAGAACAAATATTTTTCTGACCCTCTCTTTCCCCCGTCTCCCCTTTTTTTTTCCCTTTAGAGTAAATGGGCAATATATAATGGAAGGGCTTGCATCCAGCTTCCTCTTCACAATGGGTGGCCTTGGATTCATAATTCTGGATCGATCCAATGCACCAAATATCCCCAAGCTGAATAGGTTTCTTTTGCTCTTTATTGGGTTTGTCAGTGTGCTTTTGAGCTTCTTCATGGCCAGAGTTTTCATGAGGATGAAATTACCGTAAGTGATTTAATACTTTTTCAGCTTTTATTTTATGGCTCGTGTGTGCTTCTTAAATGTAAGAGTAACAGAAAGTACAATGAACTATGCTAAAGATCTGCAGCTTGGCCATAAGGTATTGACTTAACATTCCTCCTTTCTTAAGTGTTTTTTTTAACCTCTGCAGATTAATGTAGAATTTTGTTCCATAAGACAGAAGTGGTGGGTTCCCTGGCAGCAGGTATCTGGATGGAGAGCTGGTCTATATTTTCTTGCTTTGTCAATGCTATATATTTACTTGATTCATTGAGTATATGTGTCTTAACAGTTCTTTTTCTTAAACCCATTAAAGAAAGGGGATTCAGAAAAATGGAAGAGACAAAGAGACTAGAGTTTTGTTGAGTGCCAGAAAATGTTTGGTTATACTAAGTATCTTCTTAACACTGGTAGTTCACATAAAGGGTACAAATAAAGAGCCTTTTATAGCGTGTAACCTGGGCTTCAAAAATTCCAATTACCAAAGCTGGATTGAGAAAAGGGTAATCCATTTTCAGTGTTCACTGAAGATCAGCTGAGGAAGGAGTGTGTAGTTAGGCTGGCCAGTTTCTACCTTGGACAGGATTAATTGTTTTAAATAGCCTTGACCAGCAGAGTTTGTGGAAGTCTGAACTTTTTAAGGCCATTCTTGATTTTGAGGAGTGCTACCTGTGTTTGCTAACTTTTTTCCTAACCTATTTTTTTTTTTTTTTTGCAGGGGCTACTTGATGGGTTAGTACCTCTTGTGATGTATGAAAGCCCGAGCCAAACTTAGTTCTCTTCACAAAGCATTTAAGAAGAAGCAGCAAGAAACAAATTTCGTAGTCACCGTCAACAGGAAGGAGACCTGGCCATGAAAAACAGCTAGGGAAGGAGTGCTTTCTCTGCAGACAAACTCTAACTACCAATGGCTGATTTGTGGCTTTGAAGCAATGTTTTCTCATTTCTGTTTTAGAGCTTTTGAAAAGAACAAGTTACCTAGCTGTAGGGTTTTTTTATATCCCAACCTAGTATGAAATAGAGAACCTCTCTGTAGCTCTACCTGAAATGAGTATTAGCCATTGGCTTGACATATTTTCTTGCTGGTCTGTCTCCTCTTCCCTGTGTGGGACAGTTACATGTGTGAATCACAGAAGAAACACCTGAAACGTTTAACTCCAAGTTATAATTAGAAAATAATTAACTTCAGATGCTTCCCAGTCAAAAATACCATGTGTCTGAGATTATTTCAAAAGCACCTTTTGCCTTGATATTAATGGCCCTACGTGAGCAAATCCAAACATGTACTGAGACAGGAAAACTGTGTGAACGTGCATTTCTTTTTCAAAAAAGTGTATGAAAGGAGCCAAATAAAACTTATTTTCTACAAAATTATTTGAATTTGATGCAGTTTGTGAAGCTTTTTTCTTGTGTACATGGCCTGTTCTACATCCAGGCTTGAGATGCCATACCCTAGTATGGCCATATAATCAGCTTTATTTGTCATTATTGGATAATTATTTTTTTTATATATATAAAAGAGAAGAAACCTCATGTTTTCAATTAACTTGCACTGTGTTCCAATGACATACTGTTCTCAGTAGCCAAGAAGACTTACTTTGGAAGCTGCTGGTATTTTGTGTGAGAGCTGAGGCTCCAACTTAGTTCGTCTTCATTTTAAAAGACTGAAAGTTACAATCACGTTTGTTTGAGGTGGTGTGTTGCATTCTGGGAGAAGGAAAGATCCCTTTAAATCTCCATAAATACCTTTTTTGCAAGCCGTGTGTGTTTGCAAACGAACACTTGTGAGTGTTGGCGGCGAGGCTTCAGCCAGCCGCTTGCAGAATGCCTCGTCTGCCTCCTCTTCCTGGCTGGCTGGACTAGAACAGGCTCCCAACAGGATTCCTGCCTTGTTGGCCTTCCCCCCTCATCCTCACCCATAAGCAATCGACCCTCTCATCGCTGCCATCGAGCTCTACAGACGGGAGCGCTCCCGGCGCTCGAGCGGTGCCGCTGCCAGGAGGGCGGAGCTGTAGGGGCGCGGACGGCGGGGGCCGGGGGTGGGACGGGATTCCTCCTCCCCCAGGTCCCGAAACCAAACCCCCCCGACCCGGTCCATCAGGACGCGGCTGGGAGCGCGGGCGGGCGCCCCGGGGCC